TTTACAAATGAAGCTGGGGACCAGTACCTGGATGACTGTGGGGTTTAAACATGAAATTGCCCAGGGCACATATTAGAGGAAAATCAAGGGTACACTATACATGGATTGTATATGTGTTCACTGTAATATGTAAGCTAGATTAGTGAAGCAATCCAGAGGGCCTTGGGGTGGAGAAGGATGCCCTCCATTTCACTGCTGAGGAGAGACTATTGTAAATAAGTCGAATGATCCATGCTGCTACTCCTGGAAAGGTCGGTCATCTATGGGGAATTATTTTTAATTAAAACTTTTTATGGGGATGTGAATGTTCTGTAAGTTTTGTAGAAATACTTGGGGGGGGGGTTGCTGTGTTCCTGAAATTGTGGACAAAATTGTTCTCATTTGATTGTGTGTGCTTTCTCTCTCAATTGACCTGCCTCTTTCCAGGTCCATGAGCCAATCAGGAGGGAGATCCTGGAGCAGGTCCTCAACAGAGTCATCATCAATGCTGGATCTCCCATCTGCCACTTCATAGGTAATGGTGAAATGATCCAGTGGGTGATCCATTACGTTGCCAAACTGCTTTTTAGTTTTGATTCCTTCTCTGCTTCAGAGGGATAACAGTTCCTCATTCCAAAACTCTTGTGGTCTGTCTTTGAGAAATAAGGGTCTCATATAGCACTTACATCCTGGTGTGTCAAGATATATTTTCCGGCCTGTACTCACTCTAGCTTCTGAATGCCACAACAGGAGAAGTCTGTCCTCTTTTCTCTCTTCCCACCCCAGGGTCCTGCCATTTGGACCTTTTGTTCTTACCTCATAGGAGGCCATAGCTCTGCTTGTTATTTTCTTCTTCCAGATTTGCTGTCCAGCATCATCTCCTATGCTCCCCTCGTCCTTCAGAATTCTTCCTCTAAAATCACAGAGGCCTTCGATCAGCTGTCTTTTCTCCCTCTTGCAACAGTGCAGGGACTCCTGAAGGCTGTGCAGGTAAAGCATTGTGCTCCAGAGGAGGAGAGGGCATGTGTGTCTAAGGCACAGGAGGAGTTGCAGCGGGCAGTCTCCGGTGTGGGTGCATGTTCTTGGCTAACAATACTTTTAGTATATAATTGAATGGTTTTCTGAGGGTACAGCTAGCATTTCGTTCACAGCACACAGTTTAACAGTTACTGATCCAAACTTTGATCATTCTGAAAAGATGACTTTCTCCTAACCTCTCTCTTTCTGGATTTCCTAGTAGTCTTCCTCCGTGTTGACCAAGTACACATTCTGGTCTATTCCATCCTTTTTTTGTTCCAGCCTCTGCTCAAAATAAGCATGTCCATGAGGGACTCCCTGATCCTTGTTCTTCGCAAATCAATGTTTTCGGGGTAAGTTGCCTTAAAAAAAATTATTTCCTTCAAAAACAGGAAAAAAGAACAAACAAGGGAAAAAACCTCTCAAAAGTCAACAACTAAGGAGGAAAAAGTATATATAAAGTAGAAAGACAAATATAACAACATTGGTGGCAGATCTACATACACATTTCTATAAAAGATTTCCAGATATCTAAAAATAAGTCCATATACAGTTGTCTTCAGTCCATTGATTTACAGGAAGTGGGCATTTATGTCTTTAGTGTTGTAATATTAGTATTTTAGCTGTAGTAAGGGCATGGAGGGTCCATTTTTGTTGACCATTGTTAACCTCCGAGAGACAGTCATATGGTTTAAAAGTACATAAATCAACAAATGTTCTAATACAAAATTGATATGAGTAATAATTTCCTCCCAGAAAAACTGAAAGACAGGACACACCCAAAGTACATGTTTAAGGGACACTTTCTGTGAGTTACAATGCCATCACGTAGAGACTTTACGCAGTCCTTTATTAAAGAGTCGCTGTGGTGTCCCTTGTATCCTGAACATAATTTTTTGCTGAATAAGTTGCAACTTAAGATCCATAAATGTAAAGATTTCCCTTGCTCGAAAGCTAGTCGAATCCAACTCTAGGGGGCAGTGCTCATCTCAATTTCCAAGCCGAAGAGTCAGCGTTGTCCAAAGACGTTTCCGTGGTCATGTGGCTAGCATGACTAAATGTCAAGGCGCATGGAACGCTATTACCTTCCCACCGAAGCAGTACCTATTTATCTACTTGCAATTTCTTGCTTGCAAACTGCTGGGTTGGCAGGAGCTGGGACCAGAGACGGGAGCTCATTCTGTCATGTGGCACTAGGGTCTCGAACTGCTGAACTACAGACCAAAATAGGGTGATTCCATTCAATCCTGAGATCTGGATTGGTCCATGTCAGTTTATTAATTGACATCAATTATTTATAAACACATATTAGAGTTTCCAGGAACAAGGGGACTCTGAGACAATTAATGTCTCAGGGCCATATTTAGACACTAACTGATGCTGCAATTGTAAATACATTCAACAGAAGTTGACAATTCATATCTAGGCCTCAGCTGAGAAAATAACAAAAAAATCCCCCTGTTGGTCTAAGCCTTCCATAAAAAAGATTTCTTCCCCATTTTTAGATAAGGATTGGCCCTTAATACACTCGATCCATTCCAGTCTCACTTCAGGCCTGGTTTTGAACAGAGACAGCCACTGCAGGACAACCTTCAGCTGCACTTGGATCAAGGCAGTTCACCACTCCTGACCTTGTTGGATCTTTCTCCCTTCTCTGACCCATTGTCTGGGTGCAACAATGCCATGGTTGGATGGTTGAGGCAGAGCTGGTGAATTGTTTGTTTTTTATACTGTTTTAACTACATTATTATGTCTGTTTTAGGTAAAGGTTCCCTTGCTCGAAAGCCAGTCGAATCCGACTCTAAGGTTGCGGTGCTCATCTCCGTTTCAAAGCCGATAAATTTTTCAGAACCCCCCTTTGTGGGGGAGGGGCAGTCGATAAATTGAAATAAATAAATAAAAATAAATATAAAATAGAGCATGTGAAAATGGATCAAATTGATATTGTTGTGACATAACACACCATAGTTCTCTAGCTGCAGAAACTGCAGGAGGAATGGGATCCACTAACATAAGTAGACCCTAATGCAGGGGTGTCAGGCATAAGGCCCGGGGGGCCAGAGGGCTCTTACCTGGTCCGCAAGCAACTGGTATAAGGTACACCCCCTTTTATGGTATCCCTTAGAAAAAAACCTAGTCTTGCATATGATTAAACACATTTATTGGGGCTTTTGGGGGATCCCAAGTAAATTAATTGCTTTCAATGCTAGGGATCAATTGCTTTTGTTTGTATTTTGAGTAAAAATTAATATTGTTAATTGGGTTTGCTGTGTCCTTTATAAGGTTTATACCTCTGGTACCTGGTGTTACATTTTGTGCCACACACAAAATGACATTTGTGTCAGATCCGGCCCTTGTAACAAATGAGTTTGACACCTCTGCCCTAATGCATTCCGCCTAGAGAGGGGCTCCAGAAATGAGGCCCCCAAAAGAGTCCAAGATGGACAGTCCAACTGCCCAATAACTAGTACAATTTAGCAAATATGCCTTATGATATAAACTGAGATCAGGGAAAGCAAATCTTCCATCATTGAATGGGAGTTGCATCTCCTTTAAAGAAATCCAAGGCAATAAAGAACCCCACATAAATTTCTGAAACAAAGTATACGAAAAGGAATTGCATGAAAATTATAAATAATCCTGGGTATAGTACTCATTTTTAGTGTATTTACTTTGCCCCATAAAGACAACTTTAAAGTTGTCCAGTTCCAAAGCTATATCAGCAAGTAGCTTGTTAAAATTTAGTATAATCATATGCATAGTATCTCTAGGAATCCATATTCCAAGATAAGTGACGCCATCTGGACACCACCAAAACATGTCCATAAGCAAATCCACTCCATGATATATTGTCTCCCAATGGCATCAACTCAGATTTGGTCCAATTGACGGAATAGACAGACAAGTCTCGGAAGGTATTAATCATAGTCATTAATGCAGGAATGGAAGACTGAGGTGTGAGGTCCCAAAATAAACATTAAAGTTTATTTACATAAAGAATAATCTTACATTCTAAGGAATTATATACAAAGCCTTGAATATTATTATTTTGTCTGGTAGCACAAGCTAGAGGTTCCAGACTTAGATCAAAAATAAGAGGAGAAAGAAGGCAACCGTGTCTAGGTACGGTTGTCAGTCTCCAGGTGGGGCTGGAGATCTCCCGGAATTACAGGTGATCTCCAGGCTACATAAATAGCTTATTTATTATTTATTTGTTTGAAACATTTATTCCGCTTCCTCTGGAGAAAATGGCTGCTTTGGAAAGGGAACTATATGTTATTATACCCTGCTGAGGTCCCTCCCCTCCCTAAAGCCCGACCTCCCAGGCTCCACCCTTAAAATGTCCAGATTAGAAATGTAAAATTTCTGGAAATTTTGAAGCTCAGAAAAAAACCCGGGTTTTTCCCCGTTTTTTTGGGGGGGAGAAACGGAACGGAAAAATTGAAAACATCACCTACATTCGCTTTTTTTTTTTCTTTTCTAGATTGAAAATCATTCTGTTACTTTAGGAGCATAAAATATGACTATGGACATTTTTACTTGGCATGAAATTATCACAACTAGCATATTAAAAATATAGTGTATCCAAACAATTATTACAAACAGAATACCCACCCACATGCAAAAACAAAACTGAAACCTTTTAATTTTCTTCTGACAGTAGCACCTCCTAAAGGAAGAAATACATCTTGTTCTTGCATTGAAGAGTTCAGTTTGTAACCTAGGACTTGCTTGTCCTCAGTGCACAGAAATTAGATCAATCTGATACCATATATATATATATATATTGGAAACGATTTGGAAAATATTTGAACATCTTGTCTTAAAATATTTTATTCACCATGTTAAAATAAAACGTTCCATAATCATTTTTTTTCTTTTCTTTTTTCAGTTTTTCCAATTTTTCGGGAAAAAACAAAAAAGGCTTCAGGAAAAAAACGTTTTCCCCCCGAATTTTTCCGGGTTTTTTCCGGGCCTTCACATCTCTAGTCCAGATATTTTCAAACCCAGAGTTGGCAACCCTGTGTCTAGTACCCCTCTCAAGAGGGAATTGTGTGGAAAATATGCCATTAGTCAGTATCCTGATTCTGGGAGATGAATAGGGAATTCTAACCCATTTAAAAAATGCATGGGAAAACCAAATTTATTAAATGTAACAAGGATAAATTTCCAGTATATTCTGTCAAAAGCCTTTTTGGCATCAAGTGAGAGAATGGCAATTTGATCAGATCTCTTACTATTTAAAGCAATTGAATCATTGACTAGCCTAAGATTATGCAAGCCTTGCCTACCAAGTATAAATCCTACCTGGTCTACATGGACCAAAGTTGTAACAACCTTTGGAAGTCTCGTTAGCAAGAGTAACTGTTAGCATCTACATTAATCAAAGAAATAGACTGAAAATGTGTACTCTGAGCATGATGCACCATCTAGTCACCATCTAGTCTTTCACATCACCTACTGCCAGATCCTTTAACTGGAGATGGTGGGGATTGAACCTGGGACCTTCTGCTTAACACTGAGCTGCAGCCCCTCCCCTAAAGGGGTCTTTGCCAGGTTTTGGAATCATAGTAATATACGCATCGTATAACAAATTGCAATGAGCCAGATTAAGAAATCTTGTTATACAACTGATATAGTTTTGGAATTAAAAAATCTGAAAAAGTTTTATGCCATTCATTAGGCAACCCAGCAGATCGTGGAGATTTGCCAGTATTCATATTCATTATCACTACCTTAATTTCATCCATGTGCAAAAGTTCAGCAAGAAGCTGAATAATTTCTAAATATAGGAGGTCAAGGTGAGAAAAAAATGTTTCATTTCCCCCCCCCTGCGGCGGTGGACACTGGGAGCCACTCTGGGCTCAGCAATGGGGGTGGGGGGCGATGGGATTCCCCCCTGTGCATTATGCACGCCCCCAATTTAAAAAATTCATGGAGGGATGGTAAAGTAGCATTCTCTGCACAAGTGCTTTCCTTTATACTTGTGTGGCGGAGCCTGGGAGCTGTGGCAGGCCATTCAGGAGCTGCTCTGAACCCTGCTGCAGTGGTGGTGGGTACCAGGAGCCATTTGAGGCCCTTCTGCAGCAGCAGCAGCAGCAGATGATGGGAGCCACTTCGGGCCCTGCGGCAGGGGATGGCAGGAGTTGTTCAGGGCCCTGCTGTGCCAGCAGCAGACTCCAGGAGCTGCTCCAGGCCTGCTGCAGCAGTGACAGACCCTAGGGGCCGTTTGGGGCCCTGCGGCGGTGGACACTGGGAGCCACTCTGGGCTCAGCAGCAGCAGGCACTGGGAGCTGCTCCGGGCTCAGAGCAGCTCCCAGACACTGCTGCTGCTGGACTCCAAGGCTCAGCAATGGGGGTGGGGGGAGATGGGATTCCCCCCTGTGAATTATGCAGGCCCCCACTTGTGTACTATATTCCTCTCATCTTTGATCAAAGGAATATAGTTCTTATTGCTGCCTTAAACAATATACTAAAATTTTACCTGGTTTGTGCTAGTCACATTAGGAAAGAGGTAAAAGACGAGTTAAAGCATTATTCTACTTTAACTGACAGTATATTATTTAGTTCATATTTAACCTTTTCTCAGCTATGCTGCCATATTGTTTACAGGCCCGGGTTCGCTTTCATGACCTGTGTGCTAGTGGCTGCCGCAATCCTTTCTTTTTTCTTACTGACTTTGTAGCCAGCCTGTGTAGTGTCTTCCCATCAATTAACCGTGTGACTAGTTTCGTTTCCCAGCCTCGGCTCTAACTGCCTTGGTCCTCCTTCCCGCCTGCGGGAGTCAGGCCGATTGGCCCATGGGGTGGGGGTGGGGGGACATTTGAATATCCTATATCTCTCTCAGCTTTCTATGGTGTAGTTATTCCTAACAGTGACTGTGTCTATGCTACCATAGTGCTAACAATAAAATATAACCTTCAAAGAAGCGTGTACTCTGTTGTTTGACTGTGGGTCCTGACACCTTTTGTGGTTCCTGATAAAGATCTGCCTTTTTAAGAATACATTTTCAAAACGAACATCTCACCCTTCATCCAAGGAGCTTAGTGGGAGTATATGTGGCTCTCCCTGGTCGCATTTTGTCTTCATAACAATCCCATCAGGTAGGTTAAGCTGAGAGAGAGATGGCTCCACGATCTCCTAGTAAGTTTCATAGCAGAGTGGATATTCAAACCCAAGCCTCTCAGATCCTAGTGTCAGCTATGCTGCCATGGGGGTTGGGATGTTCTTTCAGTGTCTGTGTAAATTGCTTTCGCATTCCTTTCTCTCTGCTCTGCGCTGAAATGCTAATCTCCAAAGCAGTACAGGTGGTAATGTGTGTTGTCTGCCTTCAAGACCGACCGTGGGAGCCGCACAATTCTCAGCTTCGCCTAGTAACGCTTGCCAGCTCTAGCCTGCGCGCAGGAGGGTGCCTAATTGGCCAACGCAGTGGGGTGTGTGTGTGTGCATACGAATGCCCTATATCTCATTAGGTTCAAGAGGCAACTGCTATTCTTAACAGTGACTATGTTAATGCATCTATGGCTCTTCAATAAAAGTATAACCTTTCTAAAGAAGTGTGTACTCCATTGTTGGCTGTGGGTTCTGACACCTAGTCCAGCACTTTAACAACTATACCACACTGGCTTGTCTTGTTCAGTGGAGTTATGTCTCTGTTTCTTTTCTGACTTTGCATTAAAACTTTTTTTTTGCTTTTATCACATTTGCATTCTCTTAGCTCTTAGAGGATTAACATGGGTGTCGTTTCCTTTTTGGAAAAGAACTCCTGATTATAATTTAATTACTTATTTCATTTGTACCCCAGCTTTTCCCCCAATGGGGAACCAAAGCAAATCATTTTCCCACCCAGCAAACTTCCATGGCAGAGTGAGGATTCAGATCCAGATTCCTAGTGTGTCTGTAACCACACCACCACACTGGCGCTTAAGTTTCTTGAATCCTGAGTGAAAGCAAAACATAGTTTTACTGTCTAAACTTTGCTACAGATGCAGGCATCACAGAACACTGAAACTAACCCACTAAATAAAAGTCTCCAGCAAATGTTCTAGTGAGACTCCTTTGCTGTCCTCGTTTGTGTTGTTTTGTAACACCTTATTGAGCTGTATATAGCCAGTATTATTGAGCTGCATGTATTCAATATGTCAGGAGTTTGTGATATTAGTGAGGACCTGTATAGCTGTGGTCAAAAGTCATCAAAACAAGTCTTTATCTGGGAAGTCTGAGCAACTAAAATGCTTTCAGAATACTTTACTCATTATGAAATATATTTTTTCCTTATTGGGGATCCAAAGTTTTTTACATTGTTTTCCTGTCCTCAATTATAACTACACAACCCTGTGAGGTAAGTTAGTCTGAGAGCACGTGACTGGCCCATGGTCAGCCAGCAAGCTTCCATGGCTGACTGGGGATTCAAATCTGGGTGGCCCAGATCCTAGCCTGGCGCTCTAACCACCATTTCCCATTTCAAAATGTACCCGTTCCCTGAATGTGCATGCATACCTATTAGCTGCTGTAACAAAACAAACTGACTTCTAGTTCAGCCAAACCTTCATGTTACCTAAATGCACTCAATCTAAAACCTTTGCAGCCCAGATACCTTTTGCACTACAGAATTATATTTGCTCCGAGGCAAGAGAGGCAGCTGTGAAATTAATGGATTTCTGTTCAGCTGTTTTTGTGCCTGTTCAAGGATGCTAAGCAAGGTCACTTCCTTGAAGACAGCATAACGAGTCTTGCAGAAACCAGGGCTAAGATAGAATGCCATTTCTTCATGACATAGAAAATGACACTG